AATAAAGTTGAAATTAATTTTAGTTAGGAATAAAATCAAGTATTTCTGCATTAACACTTGGATTTAGGTTGTGAAAATCGGGTGCAAATGACCCGGAGCATCATTTGTGGTATTCGGAGTAAATATTTGGGCATCTAATTCTATTATAATTTTGACCTCTACGCCCACCCAACTACTATAAAGTCAAAGTAATCAATGATATCTATCGTATCAGAAAAAAAAAATTTAAATAACACTCCTAATTAAAATATGCTCAATATAATTGCTCTCTTTAAATAAACCGTTATTTCGCAGCTTTAGTTCTAACTAAATTGTTGAAAAATATTGAATGATCTTAATTAATAAAATTGTGTACATTGGTAAAAAACTAACTTGAAATTAGATTCGCAAAACGAATTCGACAAACTTTAATTGAATGTTTAATTAAAAAAATACATATATTTTTCTTTTCATAAAAAATGTCAAAATACACTTATGTAAGTAGAAAATAGTAATCAAGACTTTCTATTATCTCAAAAACAAATAAATAAATTACAATTATCACTTATCATTGTTTAAGTATGAAGAAGTTATATGATAAAAATTGCACATGAATCACATTACAATACATTGTCAACATAATTTATTAAACTTTACATGAATATATAAATATAATAAAGCGCATGTGAAGATTCTAACATTATACTCTAAACAGTTTTAATATTTATCATTAGTGCAGTAATTGAAGATTTTACTATTTTTCGTTGGCCGCATTTTCTACTACAGGCTGAAGAGTCGTTGTTTCTGATGATGAGGATAATGATCTATCAAAAAAAAAAAAAATTATATTAATAAAAAAATAGTTAAAATAAATTAATGTTATTAAAATTAAACGTGAAAATATTAACAGGCAGTGAATTTTTTTTTTTAATTACAAATACTTGAGTGTTATTTTTATGGGGGTAAAATTTTATAACACACCAAAAACATTTTAAATTAAATTAATTTAAATTGAAGTAATAAACATTTATAACAACAGACAGAACATTTTATGAGTTTTTTTATGATGACATATAAAGTTAAGTTTATCGTTCTATGATCAAAGAATATAATTATATATAAATTATATTAAAAACAGCTACGAACCTCGCTCCAAACCAAGTACAAGCTCCAGGCGCTGAATGTGATCTGTGAGATGGTTGTAGTTTGCGTTTTTGGTCTTCGGCAGCAAACGGGTTCTGTAAACAAAATTAGTACACATAACATTTTATTAAGCCCTTATGCTATTGTATAAATGTGTTTAGTGAAAATAAATGGCGTTAGTTATTAATAACTTTAAAAGTAATTAATTTGAAATTGACTCGTGCGTTTTGTTTTTATGTGATTTGGGAAAGTATAAATAAATAAATTTCAATCAAATAAATAATAAAATATAGACTAATAATTTAGAATTGAAACTTACAAGAAATGAATGATTCTTCAACATAGCTTTGATGAGTATCAGAGTGTTGAGCTTTGGTATGGACTTGACGACGTTCATCATCTCTTCTTCACTGACCTCGATCAACTCGCAGTTTTCTTGCTCGGTGGGTAAAGGCTCGGCTCCATTTTTGGTCACCCAGTCGTGTTGTTTGACAGCCGGCAGTGTGATTCTGGTGTCGGGATTTTTGTCCAGCAACCGATGGAGTAGGTGCACCAGTTGTGGTGATGTTTCGGGTTCGACGGGCCACTGTACCGGCTGCGTACGGATTTGTTCGTGGACAGTCAGAACCGAATCCGCGTCGTATGGTAATTTGCCGTAAACAAATGCGTATAGTGTACATCCAAGAGCCCACATGTCCAACGCTTTTCCGCTGTACGTGGTCGTTGTAAGGTCGAGCACTTCAGGTGCCGTGAAAGCCGGAGTGCCTGCACTTGAACTAAGCAAATCGTTTGTCCCTTCAAATTCGTTGCAAACGCCCAGATCAGCGATTTTCACGTGCCCGTTTGCACCGATCAACAAGTTTGAAGGTTTGATATCTCTGTGTACAATTCGCTGGAAGTGCACTGCAATGAATTCAAAATATAAAAATAAATTGTTCAAAACAAAAATATTAAACAACACAGCAATTCAGCTTTTAAGAATGCTTGAGAATTTTATATTTAAGTTTAATCCACTTACGATATTCGAGACCCATTAGTATGTCTCTAAAGTAAGCTCTGGCTTTTGATTCAGACATGGGTGGATCTCCAGGTACCTGCATGACTTCCCCTCCTTCTAATAGCTCAAAAACTAGAAAATTAAGTTATGAGATACTTAGACGTCTGAGAGTTACAACTGTGATTGCTTTTATACTCACCTAAATATAAATGGTCTTCGTCTGGATCCTCTAAGACTTCGACTAGTTTAACTACATTAGGATGGTCGAGCTTTTTTAATAAGGCAATTTCCCTGTATACTTTGTCTAATGGATTGGTCCCTTTGCGGCGAGCGTTCATTCGGCCTAAAAAAATTAATGTTGATCAATAAAATATAAAGCTATAGAGTAATGTAAAAACTGACTTTTAAATTAATTTAACTCTTAAAATATTGGTTTTATTACATTATATGTAATATATTTCTGACAAAACGAGTTTAAATTCATATGAGTTTTAGTGTCTACCGATTTGTAAATGATGCATTTTTAATACTTTTTTATTTGTACATTTAAAAACGTTTGAATTAGTAAACAGAAAAACCCAGCACAGTGGGGTCGCGGCATAATAGGGACGTTGCATACGTTGGGTCCAGTATATATTTAATCTAACAGTGATTAAAATCACTATCATAAGAAACGCTTCGATGCAAATCTGTAGATAGTGTTTAATTTTAAAAAATTGATGGATAATTACAAAAGCAACATCAAATTCTATTTCCTTAATTATACGCAGATTAGTAATTCTTTTAATTATACATTATATAATTTTTTTAATTAATTGTTTTCAAATTATTATTGATTTTGATTTTTAATATGTTAAAAGTAATCATTTTGAATCTACTTTTTTTTGTCTTTTAAAGTGAATGTTTTAATAAAAAAAAAATGAATTTGTTACCATAACTTTTAGTTCAACTTGCAAGTTTGAAATTGACATTATTAAATAAAAAAAAATGAAATTGTTAAGATTAATATGCAATCGGGAAATTTTATAATTACTATTTACAGTACATTTATCAGAAAAATTCGATTTTTTTTTGCATTTTTATCGTAATAGATCACTTAAATAAAAATCATAGTAATCATTTCTAATTAACTTTTGGTGTTTAAAAAGATTCTACAATTGAAATATTCAGAACTTAATTAATTTTAATGATTATATATCTATAAAAACCAATAAAAAAAAGTTGTTAAAAAGATTTACTCAATTGAGCGTATTGTAAAATTTAATTATATTTGTAAAAATCCATCGTTATATTCAGGTGAAACTAAAAATCATTTTATTTTTAAATTTATGGTTTATATAGCAACATATTACAAAAACATTTGGAATATTATAGACTGGTAGTAGCACACACAAATAGAGTTAAAAAATTAATAAATTACAAAGTAAAATTATTTACTTTTGTAGTTAAATACTTTTATCACATCAAATCTAATTTCACAATAAATACTTAAAAAATATTAGAAATGAATGATTTTAATTGTTTGTTTGGAAAAAGCTGGTTAAGCTACTTTTTATTTGAATAAGGAATTTTTTAAGGGTAATGTCTTCAACTAGATACGATTTGTGATCTTTTGACGTATTGTTGAAAGAAATCGGTCCAGTGAGAGCTGAGAAAAAGTGGCAACAGACATAAAAAAAAAAAAATAAACACATCATGGTAAAATTAATACCTTTTCAGCTTCGCATCGAAGCTAAAAAATCTAATCTCGTATACTTAGTATATCATTTTAGAATTAGCGACGCAATGTAAAAAAATCAATATGCTTAATTATTAAAAACATTTTGTTGGTTTGTAATAGTTTATTTAAACTATTGTTTTATTGTCGCCGTAAATTTTTTCCTTGAACTTCTGTCAGCACGTTTGTCGAATTTTAAAGCAGTGATTTATTGCTAATAGAAACTTTTTGATTAAAAATAAAAATGTACTTTGAATTGGTTTTGACACGACAATCAATAAAGTTATACCATTAAGTTTGTAATGAAAAAGGTTTTTAAAGAAAAAAAAAGACGGTTCAAATGTAATACTTACGGTAGTATCCAAATATTTTTGAAATTTAAATTTTATTAATTTTAAGTGCAATTTAAAGATACATCGAGTATAAGATTGCAGATAATAAAAATAACAATTTGTAAAAATTGTATAGTTTTGATTTAGAGTTAATAAAAGTGGTGTGTATAGTATTTTCAAACTTAATCTATAAAACATCTTGTATCCTAGTCATAAGAATTTGTGTTAAAAAGGAAAAAGAACAGTTTTAAATAAACATATTTGCATTTAAATTATTTTCAACAAATTTGTTTATATATTTAAAAATATTATTCCAAAATATATTCCATAAAATATTCATAAACATTATTTTTATTTTATCTAAGATGATCACTTTGCCTCAAGTGTCAACTTCCCCGCTCTCCTATATATATATTTTTATNAATAAAAATAACAATTTGTAAAAATTGTATAGTTTTGATTTAGAGTTAATAAAAGTGGTGTGTATAGTATTTTCAAACTTAATCTATAAAACATCTTGTATCCTAGTCATAAGAATTTGTGTTAAAAAGGAAAAAGAACAGTTTTAAATAAACATATTTGCATTTAAATTATTTTCAACAAATTTGTTTATATATTTAAAAATATTATTCCAAAATATATTCCATAAAATATTCATAAACATTATTTTTATTTTATCTAAGATGATCACTTTGCCTCAAGTGTCAACTTCCCCGCTCTCCTATATATATATTTTTATCAGACATTTCACTGAATAACATAGATAAATTTTTAATTAAAAAATAAAAAATCTATGACTAATTTAGATGAGCACTAATTCTCTCAGTGATTAATTATAATTCGTATAATAATATAATAATATTATTATACTTATTAATATTATAATTAATATAAAACTAAAGATATATTAAACTATTTCAAGAGATAATTTACAAGTCATTCTTTATATAAAGTAACCTTATATTAATATAGAGAATTAAACTAAACCAGAATAACCAGAGGAAATGATAGGAATTTAACACTGAGCCTTTGAAAATATTAAAATAATGCTTTTAATATGTCGTTAAAACATTTACACGTAGAGTATATTTTAGCTTCGATGCGAAGCTGAGAAGGTATTGGTTTTACTATGATGTGTTTTTTTTTTTTTTTTTTT